GTTGCCCATCACTTCTAGGAATATTTGTGTTCAGCTTCTGCATTGAAAAGACTTTCAAAGCCTTTTCATTACCTCTCCTGAATATTTAAATTTCAAGCTATGATAATCAGTCAGGTCTGAAATCTTGTTATAGTCCTCTTAGCAAGAATCTGTTTTTCATTGATTCACTTAAAGACTTCTTCCTGCTCCCTGAAAGCCTAGATTTGTATGTTCTCTGGGTGGGAAATGACAGTGATCTGTAAGAATTGTCACTACATGGCAACAACTTTTAATCAAGAGCTTGTTTCCTTCTGTTAGAATGTAAGTAAGTCTCTTTGAAGGCTTTTTTCCCTCCACTTCGTTTTGGTTTTGCTTGTTGCTTTTCAAGTGAGCTGTCACATTTTCTAATTATAAAACATTTTGCACTTGCAGCAAAGATTGGGTTATGCAATTTTCTTAATTCAATAGATTGCTTGTCACTGCTGAACAGAAAACCTTTTATTATTGTTCAGTCTTTTTTACATCTACTTTCCCTAGGTCTTTGGCACACTTGGGGGAAAAAAAAAAGGCAATCTCTCTTTTGCATATGTCACTGCAATTACCTAACTGTGGAAGTAAATGCAATCTGACACTGAAAGGACATGGAAGTGCCTCAGTTATGAACTTGTACTTTACCTGATTTTTATGTATCCCAAATTCTGAAGTTACCAATTCTTCACATACTTGTTCAGGAAGTATCGATTCTACAGTCATCTGATTGTATGTTTTAACTTTTTTTTCTAATCAGTCTAAATATTCCTTAGAGTAGTTAAGGGTATTTTGAAAGCTTATTTTCCCAAGAAAATAACTGATAGGATTCGCTCATGCCAATCTTTCAATACTCAGGTTTGGCCCAAATACACTTAAACTAAGTCAAACAGTAGGTTTCTAATTAAAACTCCAATTGTTCAAGATAAAACTTGTCTGATCTCTGGAAACAAGTGGCATTATATTGCTAGCCTTGTGGATCCTATTTGCATCACCTGTGTGAGATCCTGACATTCCCCAAGAATTGCAGGTTCTCTGGATTGTAAAGGTGGACATACAAAATGCAGAACTCATAAATTTAGCTGTAAAGTTACATTTTGTGCATGAAAGGGTAAAGCTTTCACTTGCCAATGGAGGGGCAAGCTGGTGTGAGGAAAGGAGGTGCACTGTGCTAGTGCTATTGCTGGGAAAAATGAGGTGAGATACTGTAAATAGTAGTTCTTTTTTCTCCAGACAGCTTCCACAAGCCAAAGGGAAGATCTTTCAGAGTTGCTGGAAAAGTATTCAGTGGAGCATAAATGCAGCACATCTTGAAGAATGATGCTGTCATTGTTGTTTAAATCTCCAGTAACTCAAATGAGCTCACCTTCCTTGTAACTGAGTTTTTGTGCCCTGTACTGTCCACCAGTGCTGCAGGCAGCAGCTTTTGGTTCAAAATCAGAAAAAGAAATGGGGATGCAAAGACTCCAGTTCAGTCCCCCAATATATGTATCATCAGAAAGTAAATCCAAATGATGTCTGTGAAAGGAGGAACATAAAACTGTTTCTTTCATTTAAAAAAAAAAAAAAAAAAAATCAGTCCCCCAATATATGTATCATCAGAAAGTAAATCCAAATGATGTCTGTGAAAGGAGGAACATAAAACTGTTTCTTTCATTTAAAAAAAAAAAAAAAAAAAAAAGCAGATTGAAACTATGGCAATTGCCTTGCCTATTTTACCATGGTTTGCATGGGGGGAAATGGAGCAGTAGACTTCCTTTCGTGTGCCTTTACAGTGTATAATGGTGATTTTGAAGGAGAAAAAAAATTCAAGCTTACAAAATAATATAGACACACCAAGATACACTTGGTAACAGGCAAACCGTAGTACTTTGTTTCTAGAACTGTTTTTTTTTTTAAAGCATTTAATAGGATAGTTTCCATGGCAACATGAACTGAACAGATTGTTCATTGACTTCAGTACATTTCTATTAAACATCTTTTCTCTGTAGTTAGGCCTGCCTCTCCAGCTCTTTCATCTCTTTGGATGCTTACGCATTATCTCTTTTTGCAGATATCCTTAAACTTGTTCGGACTCTATCTTTCTGTGCTCTTCAACAGAAGCAAATGTTGAGGGAATAGAATTTTGCACGTTCTCTGAGCTTCCTCTATTTCATTTTCTTTTCTATCACATAGTCTTGTTTCAATCAGTTTTCCTATAGTACCAGAATCTGTAACTCAAATTGATATCACTGCCTATCAGGAAAGGAGAAATGGACATCACAGAAATGTTTAGCATTAAAAGCCCAAATGGCTTCTGGATGCTCTTGATCACTTTATTGAGACCTGCTCTTATACCAGAAGTTCCTTCTGTTCTCAAGTAGAAAAAGCACATGATTCATGTAGTACATTCTAGATCTGAGCCTTTAAATAATTTAATAATGTTTACTTAATTTTGAAAGGTAGCTTTATAAGTCCCAGTTAGAATTTCTCCTGCTAATGGAGGAGTGCAGTTTGCTCTTCATTGTATTGTAATGTTAACCCCTGGAGCACTGTGACTAAAGGGTTAAATAAATTACTTGGATTGAATATTTGATGTAGAGAAAAGGGAGTCGAAACACAGTGATAATGGATATGAAACAGTAAATGGAGAAAAATCGTCTTTGGCTTAATCTACAGAGCTTGAGGTAAATGAGGCTTTCAATTTGCTGTTGCCCATCACTTCTAGGAATATTTGTGTTCAGCTTCTGCATTGAAAAGACTTTCAAAGCCTTTTCATTACCTCTCCTGAATATTTAAATTTCAAGCTATGATAATCAGTCAGGTCTGAAATCTTGTTATAGTCCTCTTAGCAAGAATCTGTTTTTCATTGATTCACTTAAAGACTTCTTCCTGCTCCCTGAAAGCCTAGATTTGTATGTTCTCTGGGTGGGAAATGACAGTGATCTGTAAGAATTGTCACTACATGGCAACAACTTTTAATCAAGAGCTTGTTTCCTTCTGTTAGAATGTAAGTAAGTCTCTTTGAAGGCTTTTTTCCCTCCACTTCGTTTTGGTTTTGCTTGTTGCTTTTCAAGTGAGCTGTCACATTTTCTAATTATAAAACATTTTGCACTTGCAGCAAAGATTGGGTTATGCAATTTTCTTAATTCAATAGATTGCTTGTCACTGCTGAACAGAAAACCTTTTATTATTGTTCAGTCTTTTTTACATCTACTTTCCCTAGGTCTTTGGCACACTTGGGGGAAAAAAAAAAGGCAATCTCTCTTTTGCATATGTCACTGCAATTACCTAACTGTGGAAGTAAATGCAATCTGACACTGAAAGGACATGGAAGTGCCTCAGTTATGAACTTGTACTTTACCTGATTTTTATGTATCCCAAATTCTGAAGTTACCAATTCTTCACATACTTGTTCAGGAAGTATCGATTCTACAGTCATCTGATTGTATGTTTTAACTTTTTTTTCTAATCAGTCTAAATATTCCTTAGAGTAGTTAAGGGTATTTTGAAAGCTTATTTTCCCAAGAAAATAACTGATAGGATTCGCTCATGCCAATCTTTCAATACTCAGGTTTGGCCCAAATACACTTAAACTAAGTCAAACAGTAGGTTTCTAATTAAAACTCCAATTGTTCAAGATAAAACTTGTCTGATCTCTGGAAACAAGTGGCATTATATTGCTAGCCTCATCTGAAGAACTCAGATACTTCTGTGTTGGCTTAGTTTACACTGGAGACTTTCCTGGCTCATTAAAAAAATAAGAAAATGCAAAGGTATCTGGGTATGTCCATGTCAGCTGTGCCAAGTGATCTACTCATCCCCAGCTGTGGCTTTGTCTTAGTACACGTTGTATACTGCTCTAAGCCCCAGCTCCTCTTGTTCAGTGACTACCAAGATGTTCTGCTAAAACTCAGCCATTTTTAGCGGCTCAGCTGTGTAAGGTTGCTTAGAAACCAGCCTTCTTATCCCCCACATTCTCATGACAGATTTTCTATGCAATAACATCACTGCATGACACATTTGTATCCAGACACACGTTCCCTTTCCACTTGAGATTCTCCGAGTAAAGGTTGTTGGTGCTTCATGCAATTCATAAGCAGTATGTAGTAAATCACTGCAGTATTAAATCACTGCCACAGTCAAAATGAGCTCAAGTTTCCAATGCGAGCAGTTCTCCACTCTTGAATTCAGTTATTGATCTTTCTTTCCTGAGAATAATTTCTAATTTTGTTTTTCAGCCTGGGTAACTAGAGGATATTATGACTTTATGGTAATATCCTTTCCCTTCTTTGCTTCTGTATGTAATACTTGCACCATTTCAAAATTTAGATGGTTGGGACTTTTAGTTGCAATTGCCTTCTCCTTTATAATTTCTTTGTATAAGGCATTTCATGTGAACTGGGTATAAAAATATTTATTAATAATAGAAATATGTATGTATTTTAGAAACATCACTAATAAGTATTAAAGATGTCAACAGTTCAAGAGAGTCATTGTCAGCCACTTCATATTTATATATCTCCTTGTCTGAAGGGGTTTTTCTAGCACTGTTTTTATTTCATTTCTCCTTCTCTCGTAACAGTATTGCACTTGTGCCAGAATAGCAATGTGTTGGTCTGGCAAAACAAAAAGAAGGTAACTGCCACATCTGGCAGAAAGAATATTTGTTATTGACAAAGACAGAAAGGTCCCACCCTAGCCTGTCTGTGCAGTCTCACATAAGAACCACATGCAACTTCATTCAGACTACAGTGTTTTGGCACATACTATGCCATGTATTGTGAGTGAAACATATAGTTAGAAATTATAAATTAGTATCTCGTAACATAGTAACAGTGACTGACTTTTTCCATAACCTCTTTTCTTGTACTTCTGTGTATCATGAGTTAACTTATATTACAGTTTAAAAGCCCTTTGTCTTACATACTCTAAAAATTGCACCACAAATTGTATAGCACAGTATATATAAACTAGAAAACCATTTAGAGAGAGGCCATAATACATGAAATTACCTGGTCGTCAAAGTCAAATTCTGTATAAACGTTATCTCCAGAATCCATAATTAGACTGCAATCAAGTTCATTTGGCCCTAAAATAGAAAAGAAAATTAGACTTTAGAAATGGACTGGAAATTTTCACTGTGTGATGAAACACTATAATATTTCCAATTGTCTGTATTCATGAAAAACTTGTGATCCAAGGAACCACTTAGTTGTGCTAGTGTACCTGGGTAAATGGTATTCCATTAACAAAGTCTTCAAAACGTCCATATAAGCTACCACAAACCTTAAAGAATGGTTATACTCCATGGTGAATTGTTTCTGCTAGACTGCAAATTTATTGGGCAGTGTTCTGTGTGCCATGACTTGCAATTGTAAAATGCCACAGGGACCTTGGCTCAGGGGAAAATACAAACCATGCTTAGGAAAGAGAAAAGAAACACTGACTAATTGGTGATGAGTAGATAAGGATACTGGAGTGATGTTGATGGGGGACCAAAGCAACACGCTTCCAGCAGCAACAGTCCCCATTTCTATCCTACCCCTTTACAAGGTGACAGTGTGGCTCTCCCCACCATCTTCCAGTGGCAGGATCAGCAAGTCATGCAGCCTCTTGCAATGGCAAAATTCTGTTGCTGAGAAGCCTTGAGACCTGGCTGAGCTTTACCAATTAGCTTCAGCTGAAGTATTGAAGGTACAGGGTAACAGAAATTTGGTTTGGTAAGTCATGTAGGGGGGTAGTCCTTGCTAAACCTGAATGGGAGGACACACCACTAAACATCTTTCTAGATAAATATCGAAAGGGTGTAGCATGGACATATATTCTTATTCTGGCATTATCACCTCATTCAGGTCATCTTACTCCTGGGCAACAAGGAAATAAATAGTGTCCTGTGCCCTCCACAAAATTTTTGCCCAAAACAAAATCTTGCATGTATTCAACACACATTAAAATTTCAATTGGCATGTGACTACTGGAGTATTTTTCACAACATTACTAAAATGAGAATAACAAAAATACTGTCATGACACATCTAAAAACTGGAACCAGTCTGAAGCCACAAGCAAGTCCAATAGCTGTCTTCATGTGGGGAGCAGCAGGTAACACCAGGGAAAGTATAAGATGTGCTTTGTGTTGTGCCCTCATGTCCCCAGTCGGACAAGATCACTGATGAAGAAGATAAAACAACTTCCCTCTTCCTGAGTTGCAGGTGTCTCTACCTTGTATGATGTTCCTGCAAGCACTGGCATTGAGGACACATGGTTTTAAGACTACTGGTGACCTGGTGTTGTTTTCTCACCTTAGAGATGGTGGGTCTCTGTAATAAGCACTATCAAAAACAGATTTGCAGTTAAATTTGGACCAGGTGCATTTATATATTATCTGCTTCCATAGTAATAATCTATGTAGGTGGTGAACTGAACATCACTAAGAGAGAAAACAGAGGAGAGGACCTGGGTGTCATGATGACTAAAACCATAACTATCTGGTAGAGACGCTGATTCCAGAGTTTCTTAATTTGCAACATATATGAGAATCGCTGCCAAATTAATTTTTGATGGAACTCTTTGGACTAGGTAAGAGATACCAGGGAAAGACTTGGGTCTAGCATCTGTTGGTGTTTTTGTGTTGATTTCCCCTCACCCCACCCCCCTTAATGCTCATGTATAATTGATCAGATTGCTATTAAAAAAACACAAAACAAAAGCAAAAAAACACAACAACAACAAAAAAACCCAACAGGGATTGCACTCTTGCTACCATAGAATGTCACTTGTATATATGCAACATGTTCTCTGTCATATACAGGTTATGGTAATTTGAAAATATCTGTCTGTAAAAGATATATGGAACAACTGCTATGAGAATCTTAATTTTTAAATTTATTTTACACAGCTGACATCTCTTAAAACTGTGCCATTGTTGATAATACAGTTTAACTAAGCCTTAGTCTTCACCAGAACTGGCCTACACTGACACATCAATCACTTTTAAAGGTACTTGTGTGCAAGTATTTGATTGTCACTTAACTACCAAGAGCAGCATGTATCCTTAGCTAGAAATGTTAATATGAAATATGGTGCTGCAAACTTAAATGTAAAGGTCAGGCTGAAAATGAATACTCATGCATAATGTATTTTCAGTGATAAAAGCCATAAGTTATACAATTTTAATATGGTCAAGCATCTTAAGGCCTTTTTTCTTCAACTAGGACACCAGTTTCCTTGGGGAATTATATCTGCTTTCTAAGGAATATTCAAGGAAGGTCAGGAAAATTGAAAATATGTCTCTTTTCCTTGGTTCAATGAAAACTAACAAAACTCATAACCATATATCACTGAACAGCATACAGATATCTCTGCCATTCTCAAGTTGCCTGAAGACAAACATACCAGTAATGAATGGAAGGATATAGCTACTCCCAGGACAAGATAAAGTAATAAGGGGACAAAACCTACTATTTATCATATCTCTGGTGCAGTATCAATAAGCACAAGTCGTTTCCTATCCTCCAGCTTGGTTAATTGTTGGAGGGAGCCTATTTTGCTGAGTTTGGACTAAATCTTGCTAAAACTGGTCTTCTAGGGAAGGAGAAAAGGCTTGTTTACTAATCGCTAGTACATGTGGCAGCAGAAGCATAGCAGATATCTACTTTGCAAGGTATTGGGAGTCAGTAGTACTGGTGGCAGGCAAAGCTGCTGACATGGCTAAAGAAACGGGGAGAATGTTGGAAAGAG